TTTCGCCCGACAACTTAACTGTGCTATCTGAGCTCATACCCCATTGGTCCTTAATCGAGTTGAGCCGGCCAGGGCTTGGGCGAATCGATAATGGACCTTGGGTTCACTGTAGTCGAGTGGAGTGTTAACTCCTCGACCTTATAGTATACTCGAGTATTACCCTCTCTGTTACTGTGAGGTGTTCGAGCCCGGTAAGGGGGTGACCGGTGGAAGGAATATGGAGTAAAGTGGGGGTCTACAGAATGTTCTTCGCTTTAAAGGTTGACGGAGTGTCAACGGGTTGGTGATCAAGTGCGGCAAGTGGAAAGTGGCTCTTGAGAGCCAATTGTATCTTTTTATATTGACTTGTAGTGTTTATGAGTTTTTGGGTCACTATGTGATAACATGTGGTTACTGGTGTGTCTTGTTGGTACCTCACGAGCGTAAGCTCACCCTCGTTACTTTGTTTTCCTTACAGGGAATAATCTTTGGAGAACTATGATGTGGTGAAGCCGAGTTGAGCTAATTTTAATATTTTTTTTTGTATAGCTCCTCGATAGTTGGGAAATCCATACATGTACTTGGATCCAACATTTCTTTTGGGTTGTAAATTTGTAATTATGTATGTATAAAAGTGTTTGGTAATGTTCATGTGCGATTTTGGTTTGGAAATGTTCCTTACTTGGAGTATATAAAGTTATTGCACTTGTTTAGGTTTCGGACAGATACAGCACTATTCATGTGCAGCCCCGTTCCTTTTTTTCCATTTTTTTGGTTTCGTGGCTTTAATTTATTTGAGCGCGCTAAAATATTTCGGAACGTTTTAGATTATATTTAACCGTCTTAGTAGCCCTGGCGAGAGTTGGGCAGGCAGTCCGCTAACCTTTTTGGTACGCCCTAGGGGAAAGTGGGGCTGTCACACTTTACAAACAAATTGTGGGAAACCTGATGTATGTGACAGTCACTAGGCCTGATATTATGCATGCTGTAAGTCTTATTAGTAGATACATGGAAAATTCAAGGGAGACACATCTTCTAGCTGCCAAGAGGATTTTTCGATACTTGCAAGGAACCATTGAGTATGGGCTGTTCTACAAGAATGGTGAAATATCAGATTTGTTTGGTTTTACTAATAGTGACTATGTAGGCGATTCTGATGATAGAAAGAGTACGTCTGGATATGTATTCATGATGGGTTCAGCAGCTATTTCATGGTGCTCAAAGAAGCAATCAATTGTTACTTTATCAACAAATGAAGTAAAGTACGTAGCTGCAATGGTCTGTGCCTGTCAACCAATTTGGCTAAGAAATATTCTTGAAGAGTTGCATTTTCAGCAAAAAGGAGCCACTACAATTTATTGTGACAATAGTTCAACCACCAAACTCTCTAAAAATCCAGTTCTACATTGAAGAACCAAGCACATAGACGTGAGATTTCACTTTCTAAGGGAGCTCATAAGGGATGGAATAATTGACTTTCTCTACTGCAAAAGTAAAGATCAAATTGCTGATATAATGACCAAGCTATTGAAATTATCCATGTTTTAGAAATTAAGGAAGCTATTTGGAGTCTATGCAGTTGACAAGTCCTATTAGACTGAATGTTTGAGAAACTTTCAGTTTAAGGGAGAGATTGTTAGAAATATTTACTGTTGTTAATTAATCATGTTTGTTTATTTTGTTTTACCTAATTAATGGAGTTAGTGGAGTAACTAGTGGAATTAGTGGAATAACTAGTGGAGTTAGTGGAGTTATTGGGATAGTTAGTGGAGTTAGTGGAGTTGGTTTGAACTCTATAAATAGAGTAATTTCATGTTATGAATTATGTCAGTTTTTACAAAGAAATAAACTCTTGTCATTTGCTTCTCTTATTTTTCTCAATAATTGTAACAGGGAGGTTGCGCAAATGGTTACCGTCGCATTTGGTGCCAGAAATTCTGCACATCCCGATACTTGTTATGAGGAAGGACAGACTGGTTTGGCTCTCTTCTGCAAATGGCGAGTTCACAATTAGTTTTGCTTGGGAGTTAGTAAGACGGCGGAACAATATATCTTCTGCAATGAAGGTGGATTGGAACTCTATGGTTCCTTTGAAGATTTCTTTCTTTGGGTGGAGAGTGCTACGCAACTTTCTTCCGCTGGATTATAGTCTCCAGCGACGTGGTCTTCCGTTTGTTTCAAGATGTTTGTGTTGTTCTAGTGCTATAGAGACGGTGCAACATTTGTTTATTGATGGGGAGGTTGCAAGACAGGTTTGGTAGCATTTTGCTCGGATGCTTGGTTTGACATTGCAACCGTCCGCTTGTATCTCTACTTGCTTTTGACCTGGTTTATGTCCTCACCAAAAGGAAACTATAATCATTTATGATGTGCTCTTCTGCTGGTTGTGATTTGGTTTTTATGGAAAGGTCGAAATGGTGCTAGATTCCAAGCTCATAGCTTTCAATCTGTGCGTGTTATTTTTTAAGTTAACCAGTTCTTGAAGGTATTGGGTGGCGCTAAGCTGGTTCATAAGTACCAAACAGAAGGTGATTTTAATATTAGTGTGGCCTCCTATTTTCGAGTGCAGAAGGGTCCGAAAAGAAGAGTGCAATTGATCGCTTGGTATAGGCCAGGGTTGGGCTACTGACGCTAGTGTCAAGGGTATGAAGGCTTCAGAGGGAGGTGTACTGAGAGATGCAGAAGGAAAGTTGGCAGTACTATATCTTCTCATCGGTAATGCATCATATTTATCACTAAATATTTAAAAGTAATTGCCTATTAAAATTTATTTGTTATACATGGAAGATATAGCAAGAATTATAGGGAGTTATAATAACTATGTAGGGGCCTTTTCTCTCTCTAAACCAGAGAGCATTTCTCCCCTTTGTGGGAGCTTTTAACTGGCTTAAAAGTCCCAAAAGGTCCAAGCTTTTACTTTCAGACAATCCTCAAGCATTAAACAAACCAAATCTTTGTGTATTACGGTCGGAGTCCAGTTATAGTAAGAGGGAGCTGAAGAGGCAGTACGAAGAGCTGACATTCGGAGCTCCAGAGGTTGTGAAAAGTAACTAGGAAATTCAGATCGAGAGCTTGGCGGTCCTTTTAGCCTGTATTATTCGGTGATTCCAGATCTTTATGCTAAGGCGAAGTTCCAAGGGAGTGGCTTTATAACAGACAGGTAAACTCACTGCCATTGTCTCATTCTTTCTTGTCTAGTATAGGGGATGCCTTAGTGTTAGGTGCATTGTGTTCTGTTTCCTTTGTTGCCTACCAATCTTACATTTTTCTAGAGAAAAGTTTTTCCTTTTTGTTCCCTTGTGGTTTTACCGGGTTTCCCTTGTGGTTTAAACTCACTGCCATTGTCTCATCCTTTCTTGCCTGGTAATGTGGGTGCTTTAGTGTTAGATGCATTTTGTTCTGTTTCTTTTGTTGCCTACCAATCGTACACTTTTCTAGAGAAAAGTTGATTTTCCATTTTGTTCCCTTGTGGTTTCATCGGGTTTCCTTTGTGTTGGTGTGGGTGTAAGACCTATATTAGCACTTCTTCGGTTAAGTCCAATGGCTGAGGATATTGCGGATATTTTGCAAAGCTTTACTGTTTCCAATAAAGAACTGCAGATAACAGAGTTGGGGAGGGAGGAACTAAATGTAGGGATTAAGGAATGTCAGAGTAGTCTGTTAGGGAAGATAGTAGGAGAGAAGATAGCTAACTACACGGGTGTTAAGAACTTCGTGACAACTGCTTGGGGGTATCCAAGAGATCTGTCTGTTGCTGAGTTGGGTCCAAATTTGTTCCAATTTATATTACCTAAAGAAGAAGATAGGGACGGAATTGTTCAGGGAGGCCTGTGGATTCTGGACAACCAATTACTGGTGTTGAATAAATGGTATGAGGGGATAGAAGCTGATGACAAGGCCTTTAATTTAGCAACACTTTGGGTGCAAGTCTGGAATCTTCCAGTACACTATATCTCAAAGGATGTGGGTAAAAAGATAGGTTATGTGTTTCACCAGGTAAGAGATATTATTATACCACAAACGGGTGGCAAGGAGGGAAGGCATTTGAAGCTAGCAGCAGTAGTGGGTATTACTCAACCTTTACTTCGTAGGACTACTATTAAAGTGGCAGGGGCAACAAAATGGATACAATTTAAGTATGAAAAATGCCTGGATTTTTGCTATAGGTGCGGTAGGATAGGACATAGTGAGAGAGTTTGTGGCATGGTGGAGTGTAGGAGGGAGGGTAAAAAGGATAATCAATATGGGAATTGGATGAGGGCGGGGCAGGGAAATGGGATGATGGTTGGGCAGAAAAAGCACACAGGAGTAATATTTAATCCCCAAAGGCATCACTGGAGTTACCAGAATGGGGAATGGAAAGAGAAGGAAGGCGCGGAGGTACACGCTCAAGGTCATAGGAGTACAGGTTCTAGAGGGGTGGATGAGGAGCTGGAGAGGGAGCAAGATCAAGATCTGGTTGAAAACATGTTGAATGCTCAACAAAATGAGCAGAGGAAGGTTGTGCTAGCAGCAATCTCCAACTCAGGACCCGCATCAAACATCCAAGGAGGTACAAATTCTGAATTGTTAAAAATGAATCCTGGAGAGGAACTAACTCAGATAGGTGAAGGAAAGGGGGAGAACGAATAGAATGGGGAGACCTCTATGATGGTGGATGGTGATGTTGAACATATACCGACTGAGAAAGGGGTTCGGCAAGTGCAATTGCCAGATTTGGAATTGGTAAACAAAGCCTCGTTACTTATGCAAGTTGATCAGGGAAGTACAGCTAGCAAGCAAGAAGGAATAAGGAAGCAGATCAGCAGGACTAAGCAGCGTTTGAGGTCACCTAGTAAACGAAGGCAGGCTCTACAAGGATTAAGTATCAACTTGGGGAAGATTCAAAAACAAGGTAAGAGGAAAATGACTGATATGGATGTGGCAATGGAGAACGTGGAGGATGAAGGACATGAGATGAAAAGGAATAAACAAGGGGTTGAGGGGGAATGGTCCATTCCTAATAGGACCATAGATTCCAAATGAGAGTGCAGGTGTGGAATTGTCAAAGTGTGGGGAGCCCCTTGACAATTCCCCAGCTGAGAGAGGTTAATAACCTCTTCTCTCCAAGTATGGTGTTTTTGAGTGAGACCAAGAATCGAACAAAATACATGGAAAAAGTGAAAAATATTTTAAGATTTGATGAGATGGTTGTGGTGGAGGCAATGAATAAGGCAGGAGGAATGGCTCTCCTTTGGAAAGATGAGGTGAAAATTTTAGAGGTTTTGACGACGGCTTTTACCATAGAGGCTCATGTGGAGGATGCGGAAGTCAATTCTGATTGGTGGTTTATAGGTATTTACGCGAGTTGTGATAACCAAATCAGAAAACAACAGTGGCAAGTAATAGAGCGTCTGAAGAGATTGTGGGGAGAAAGATGGTTGATAGCTGGAGACTTTAACGATATTGTTTCCAATGAAGAAAAATGGGGAGGAAGTAGCCGGCTGGAAAGTAGCTTTCAAGACTTTAAGCAATTCATCAATGGGAATCACTTGTTGGATATTGGTTTTGTAGGACATCCTTGGACCTGGAGTAACAATTGGGAACAAGGAGGGGATATCAAACAAAGACTAGACAGAGGTTTATGTAGCTATCCCTGGTCACAGGTTTATGAGAAAATTCATTGTACACATATAGCCTCTTATGCATCTGACCACAGCATTCTTTTGTTTGACACCATGATGAATATTGGTAGGAGGAAGAAGAGATTTTATTTTGATAAGAGGTGGCTAAAACGAGATGATATTGGAGAGGTAGTCAGGTCTGCTTGGGAAAACGAATTTAATGGTTCACGGATGTTTCAAGTGGTAATGAAGATAAAGAACTGCCGAGTAGCTCTCTTAAAGTGGAGGAATAATTTCCAAGCCAACTCACAAAAGGATATTGAGCAGATAAAGAACCAGTTAAGTGTGGTGCAGCAATTGCAAGGTAGCACCAGCATGGGAAGCATGGGTTCTCTTAAAAAACAGCTAAAGGATGCCTACAAAAGGGAAGAGCTTTACTGGAGGCAGAAATCGAGGATACAATAGCTTAGGGAGGGTGACAAAAACACAAAATTTTTCCATACCTCTGTACAAGGCAGAAGAAGGAGAAATAGATTGAACAAACTGCAGCGAGAGGATGGTACGTGGACTGAAAGTGAGGAGGCAGTGAGCACGGAAGTTGCAAAATACTATAGGAAATTGTTGCATAGCAGTGATGTAGGGGACTTAACTGAGGGTATTCCCCATACTATCTCTGATGAACTCAATGGGAACCTGATGAAACCAGTGTTGGAAGAAGAAATTAAATATGTTATTTTCTCTATGAACCCAGATAAAGCTGCTGGGGTTGATGGTATGTCACCACTTTTTTTCCAAAAATTCTGGACTATCATCAAGAAAGAAATGGTAAATGCTATCCAAACTTTTTTTCACACAGGTCATCTCTTGAAGAGTGTTAATCATACTGTGATTACCCTCATTCCCAAAGTGCTTAATCCTACATCCTTGAAGCATTTCAGACCCGTTAGTCTCTGTACAACCATGTACAAGGTCATTGCTAAAATTCTAGCAAATAGGCTTAAATGTGTCTTACATAGCTGCATCTGCAAAAACCAATCTGCATTCATACCTGGTAGGCGAATTTTAGACAGCATTATGGTCTCTCATGAATATTTGCATTACCTAAATAACAAGAGACATGGTAAGGATGGGTTTATGGCAGTGAAATTGGACATGTCTAAAGCCTACGACCGGGTGGAATGGAGTTTTCTCGAGGCCATTATGCAAAAGATGGGATTCCACCACAAATGGAGAACCTGGATTATGGAGTGTGTAAGATCTGTATCTTACTCATTCAATATTAATGGGGAAGTTAAAGAGTATGTGATTCCCACAAGAGGCATTCGACAAGGGGACCCTTTATCCCCTTATTTGTTCCTTCTTTGCTCTGAGGGGTTCTCCAATCTTATTCGGTAGGCAGCAGAAACTAGGAAGATTTCTGGGATGAAGATTAGTAGACATGGTCCTTGTATAACACATCTTTTCTTTGCAGACAACTCCTTGATTTTTTGCAAAGCGAATAAGGATCAGGCCACTGAATTGATGAGGGTGTTGCAGGTGTATGCCTTGGGGTCTGGTCAGTTGATAAATTTGGATAAGTCATCTATCCTTTTCAGTAAGAATGTGAGCCCACATGTGAAGCATGAGATTTGCCAAGTTATGGGGAATATGCAAAGTGTTACTCAAGGCAAATATCTCGGCTTGCCAATGGTGGTAGCTAGATCTAAACAGCAGATTTTTGGGTTTGTCAAATCCAATATAAAACAGAGAATGAGCAAGTGGAATAACAGGTTCTTAAGTTCAGCGGGAAAGGAAGTCATGCTTAAATCAGTAGCCTTAACCATGCCAACGTATACCATGTCTTGTTTCAAGCTCCCATCTAGGTTATGTAAGGATCTCAGTTCCTTAATGTCAAATTACTGGTGGGGTGAGGCTAATGGAAAAAATAAGATACACTGGTGTTCTTGGAGGAAGCTCACTCAGAGCAAGAACATGGGAGGTTTAGGCTTTAAGGATTTGATGGCATTTAATGCAGCACTTCTCGGCAAGCAGGTTTGGAGATTGATAACTGTGCCCAATCTTCTTGTTAGTCAAGTGATGAAGGCAAAATACTTCCCATCCACCTCTACATTTAGATGCAAAGTCCCCAACAATGCATTTTGGTTATGGCGGAGCCTTATGGGTGCTAGAGAGCTGGTGAATCTAGGAACGAGAAGAAAGATTGGCAATGGCATGAACACTAATATATGGGAAGATAGCTGGATTCCAGGTAATCTAAATGGAAGAGTGACTACCACGAGAGACATGGACAATGGGCTGCACAAAGTTCATGAGCTGATCTGTCACAAGACATGGAATACTAATCTAGTCTTCAAGATTTTTAATCCACAAGATGCTGAAAGGATCCTGGCAACACCTATAAGTCTAGCAGGGAAGGAAGATAGGCATTTCTGGATATATGGGACTGATGGAAACTATTCAGTAAGTTCTGGGTATAAATTACAGGTAGGTCACGAGGAAAGGAAGCACAATAGAATCAAGAAGGAGACCTCTACAAGCTGGGAGGATCAAACCCAAAGGCTATGGAAGGACTTGTGGGAACTGAAGGTGAAGCACAAATAGAAAATATTCTTATGAAAATGCCTTAATGATGCACTCCCAGTCAGAGCGCTTATGTTCGGTAGAACCAAAATTGGGGACCCCATTTGTAGCAGATGTGGAGCGGAAATGGAAACGATAGAACATACTCTTTTGAACTGCAGGGAAGCTAAACTGATTTAGAAGTTAGCCCCTGTCCAATGGAAAGGAATGATGGAGCAACATGGAAGTTTTAGAAATTGGTGGACATCAATCTCAGAAGCCAGGAACAGACCGGAAGGATGGCAACACATTTCTTTGTCTGTACATATTCTATGGCAAATATGGAAAGCAAGGAATGAGTTGGAATTTAATGGTAAGAAAAAGGAGCCTTGGAAGACTATTCAAAAGGCGCACCAGGAATGGTTAGAGATGGTGGAACTAGATATAAAAGAAACTAGGAAGAGCACAGAGGCAACATTAGTTCTTCATCAACAAATACCGCAGTTAGACTCAGAACATGGGACGTACAGTGGAAGTGAGGATTGGAGTAACTTTAGATATGGCCAATCATGGCCTAGGCATTGGAATAAGTCTGAGACAAGGTGATCAAGGATTCCACCGAGGTTGGGCAATATGGGCTAGAAGTTCAGGATCAAACCTGGTGGATGAAGCAATTGCACTTAAATTGGCAATGTGTAAGGCTGCCGCAGAGCTACTAACGGAAGTGATATTCCAAGTGCAAAGTCCTCAACTCCTCAACTATATCCGCACAAACAGAGTGAGTGACATTCGACTAGCTACTGTGGTTGATGACATTATTCAACTAAGAGATTTGTTTCATATGTGCTCCTTTTGCCTAGTTAGAAATGATAAGACTCAACTAAGCTCCAAGCTTAGCATTCATGCCTTAGGCATTATTTTGGATGAGGAACTTTGGTTTCCTTAGTGGTAAAATCGCCGCTTGTAAAGTTCAATCGAGACTTTGCTCGCACTTGTAAAGTTCTTGTCTAGTAATACAAGTACTTATCGTTTCGAAAAAAATAATAATAACTATAAAAGTCAAAAGCAGCCAAACCATCATCTCCAGCAGCCTCTTGATTGGTTGTTTTAATAGCATGATATTTTAATATAAAAATGTGAGGTGTGAAGTAATGATTGCGAAGTTTTGAAGGGAAAAATACACTTTTTATCCCTAATGTTTAAGGTGTTAACCAATTTCGTCCCTAAAGTTTCATGTAAAACATATTTCATCCTTGTAATTTGATAATTTTAACTAATTTCATTTTTAAAGTTTCACATGAACACATTTCATCCTCATAGTTTAATATATTTGGCTAATTGAGGACAATTAGTGGATTGTCAATGATTTTAAATAGAATATTGTCACTTGACCACAACATGCCCATTAGTAAAATAAAAAAAAAAACATTGGATCAACAAAAAGGTTAAAAATCTTTTCTTAATTCACTTTCTCATTTTAGTAAAAAAAAAAACCTAAGAAATTTTTAGCCATCATTTCTGTCTTCTTAATCACAATCGAACAAGAAGATACATCCAAAGAAAATGAAGTCATGGAAAACAAACAACCCCACTATAGCCAATTGGAAAAAAATGTCAAACAACTCCATTACAACTAATTGGAGAAAAATATTAATGTGAAAGAAAGAATGGTTTGGATTGTCATTTATTTGCAAAATTTTGTTTTGCTGCTGTGTATTTTGCACCAACAGTTGTATCATGTATACGTTATTCAATCATCTATTCATCTTTCAATTTATTTGTTTTATCTCAAATGCATTATATCATAATTTTAAAAAACAAAGAGATAGTCTCATATCCAAAAACACTTGTTATTTTTGTAATTTAATCAATAACTGAATTAAGTATTAATAATGCAATTACTAATGGGACATGTGATGATATTATGTCCAAATTGGTTAACAATCATTTAATTGTCCTCAATTGATAGAAATTATGAAACTATGGGGATGAAATGTGTTCTACATAAATTTTAGGGACAAATTGGTCTAAATTATAAAACTATGAGGATAAAATATGTTTAGAATGAAACTTTAGGGACGAAATTAGTTAACACATTAAACAATGGGAATGAAAAGTGCATTTTTTCCAAGTTATGAAATAGGGAAAGTATTAGGTGGCCAAATTATGAACACTCTACATATAAAGGAGGAAGTGATGCTGGATGTAGGTTTTTTTTTATACTTGGTACTTCAAACATTTATATCGTAAGATAGCAAGCTAAAAAGTAATCTTACTTTTTGTTTATTATGGTGATTTCTCTCTTTTGAGTGTATCCACCTTGTCTTTTTGGAAGCACCAATATTTGAGCCATACTTGTAACCACTCCTATGACATCCGTAGAAAATGAGTGTATTTTGGATGTAAATAAGTGCAACGATTCAACCTAATAGTGTAGGAAATTGTTAGAAGTTTTGCGGAAGGAATTGGATAGGTTTTGGAAGAAAACGTTACCTATTCGTTTGTTGATGAAATCTGGTTTGTTTGCCTCTTCAAACTCGATAGGTGCATAGATAATGTTCCTTGTTGGCACATGAATGGTCTTCTTTGATGTGAGTGTAATTTTGTGGGACCAATTCAATCTCGTTGTTGACATTTGCTCGCGAAGTGTTTGTTTTATTCACACTTCTATTTGAAAGTAAGTACAACTTATTGTATTGAAAATTGTTTCCAAATCTTGTGATGATTTCATCAAACATGATAGCTTGAATTTTTGTTCCCTGTAAATTTATTGAAATACAAATAAGAAATGGTAATAATTTGTAAAATATAAATAAAAATTAACAGATGAACATGAAAGTATATATTTTCTCACTTCATCATGGACCAAAATTAAATTTTGCAAAGTTGAAGAAGTAGAAAAAGAAATAAATATAGTGGTGATTTGATTATTGGGCGCCATAGTAAATAGACAGAATATTAGGGTTTTTTTGTATTTTTTTTAAAAAATAGGAGTAAGCTTTGACATGTTCACTTTATTAAAAAATTTCTTTTGTAGCCAATCATTTAATTTTAAAATTCGAAAAACCTAATACAAAAGCAAAAAAAGAAATAATAGTAACTTGGTCTGGAAAATGGGAATAAATTACAAAATATGAATATAAATTAAGAGATGAACATAAAAAAATATATATCTTCTCACCTCATCATCAACAAAAATCAATTTCTGCAAAGTTCCAGATTTCTGTTTTCCAACATAATGCTCGATATTAAATTTTCGTAATAGTAAAACTCGAATTGTCCACATCTTTTCATCTGGCTTCGGGGAACCGATAAAACGGTTCTCTTGTATTGCCATGGTACCTAAAAATATGAGGGGGGGGGGGTGGGGAACTCAAGATAGGTAATGGAATGTGAAAATTATAGTAAAGGTTTTAAGTATAAATATAATACGTAAAGGGTTATTTGAGAAAGTAAACTAATGGTAATAAAAAAACAAAAGAAGGAAAGAAAACAAGAATGGCAGATCGCAGATGTGGCAATATGTTTTCCTAATATCTACACGGAAAATCGGAGAATTTCTTCTTTCCTTTCCACCTCCTCCCTCTCCTACCCAATTCCCCTTCTCTAATAATCTCTCTCTCTCGCTGGTTTTTTTTTTTGGGCAAAATCGTACTATACTATTTGTGTATGCTGATCGATGAATTTGTATTGCTCGGTTGTATTGGAGGAAACGTAAAGAGGTTTCACCAAGTTTGAGAGAGGTATCTGTATTGTAGGTACCTATAATACCTCTGTTGCTCTTCTTCTGTTTATTTTCTCTCTTTTCTGTGTCTAAGGGTGTTGGAAATTGGGTGTAGAACTTAGTAAAGATGCCATATTTATACAGATGTAATGCTGTCTTCTATGTCATGTGCATTAAAATTTTCAGTTTTTGTGATTAATTCGTTGTTTGCCTTCATACGATTTTAAGATTGTATTTTAAGTTTTGGTTGGGGTTTTTGGTTTTAGCTTTGTAGCTGATAATGATTGGTGTAAATGATTCGTAGTGGTATTTCAGTTGGTGTTAATGATTAATACTGTTATTTCAGTTTTAGATTTTGTGTAAGCTGGCCGTTCAGTTGTTAATTTTCATTATGAGTGTAAGGGGTGTAAGATTGCAAGCCATAATTCTGGAAACTGGAAAGGTTCAACCCGCATCAGGTCAGGAGTAGTACAAAACGGGAAAATGGGTAGCCCACGACATTTAAGGTAACTCTTCCAGCAATCGCAGCTTTTTCTCTAGGATGATGAAACTTGCATGTGGCCCCCAAACTTGCAAGTGAAAGTAACCGTTATGTTATTCTTCAATGCTTGACAGTTTTTCTCATGAAGTAACGGCACAAATCTCATCCTTAATGCTTAAAAACATAGAAGGATCATCTATTGATTCATGACAATAGTAATAACACATCTGAGTGTATAATGACCAAGGCTTCAATAGGATTATATGAATATCAAGATATTGGGTTTTTTACAAGTAATAATCATATTTGGGTAAAATCTGATTGTTACACAGGGACAATACAATTTCATATGTTACACATCACATAGGCCCAAAATTCTCTGAAAGCAATGGAATTTTTGGTGGGAAATTTACTGATATCAAATAAATATTAGAAATTAGGAGACTGCATAGCTTGAAAACATTTGAATGAGTATAGATTGGAATTAATAGTTAAAAGAATTGGACAATGCGAATTATTATTATTTTACGAAAGCATAAATAGTTGCAAAAGGTGAGAATGAAACCATTAAGTGTTGAGGGCTTCAAGGTCATATTGGTATTTAGGGTGTGGATATAGGATGATAGGGTGTGTATTGAGTCCCCCCCTATCAATTTTCTGTCCAATTTACTCCAGACTCCTGTTATTCTATTTTTCTCATATTTTGAAACAGCTTTGAAATCCTTTGGATTTGACTGAATTGGCTGCTTTTCTCACGTATATCCTTTGTGCGTGCCCTTATTTGAAGCCCACCTTAGTATTAACTGCAAGCTTCACAGAAGCAAATGAGATATGGAAGTGTAGTCCCTTGAAAATGGCCCTCAATCTGTCTGTTGAATTTTTGGTGTTGCATGGAATTTCAGTTTGAGCTCACATTGTAAATTTTGTTGGTTTTTGGCAGGAACTATTCTTTTTTTTTATTTATTTGCTTACTTTAAAAGGGGAATTGAATCTGTAAGGGTACTATGTGATGGTTGACGAAATATACTATTCCGTTTTCTGTTTCCATGGCAATTTCATATTTAAATTGGAAAAGATCTTGCAGGATATTGTGTTTGTTGTGGGTCAGTTTTCTGCCCAGAGTGCTTGTGACTTGCTTAAGCACGTATGTATAAGAAAAATGAATAAATCAGCTATTAAATTAATTTATGGCATTTTCCCACTTTAATTTAACCAATGGATGCTTCTCTGCTTGCCTGGCCCTTGGGAACCTTACCACCCTCATGTTACCTGTAGTTTCATTTTAATTCCAATACAACCAGAACAATAAACGCATATGAGTGCATAATATGTCCACAAACATAATCTGAGCAATAAAACAACTTTAAATAGCCAAAAGGCACCTGACAACCAACCAAGAAATTATAGAAGGGTTACATGTCTAATGAGGATGGAGCTATTTCAAGCACATGAAGATCATAGAAACACAAAATTTCTTGTTGGAGGGTCTTAAGCCAACTTTGTCCCTTCTGTTTCCGCTAATCCTTTTCTTAATTTGATTTATTAGTTAAGAACAATTACCGAGTAAAACCAAAGAACTGTTTATGTTGATTTGACCCGGAGATGCATCGGTAAATTTACTTTGATCTGATTTAAATAAGAGTAAAACCATTGAACTTCTGTCATTCCAAAGTACTTGAAAGAAATAAAAAATAGTTACCAATTGCCATTTGCTTATTGACTTGAAATATACTGCTCCAGTAGGCTTGGATTTTTTCACAGCCGCAAGCATTATGATTTATTAATAGTGTTAATGCTGAGTTATCTATTACATCTGGTCAAGAAATTTCTTGAATAAAGCAAAAGTAGAGTGCGTTGGTTAAATCTCTCTCTACTTTACTAATACATTAAGAGTCTCTGTCCCGTCTAAACATAATGACTACATTATTTAACATCACATGGCTGACTTACACTAAGGAAATTAGAGACAAAATTAGTATGCAAAAAGTAACCAGCAGCAGTTGAGGTGATAATGCCCTTATTAACTGTGGTTTAGGCGCTTTATGCTATTGTTGTTGACTGTTTTATCTCCAATATTTCATGGTGTTTTCAATCTGATATGTTAAGCAGTTACATGCATTATTGAGCTACTTGCATCTTGATAAGCCTTTCAAAGGTATTTGTTAAGCTGGATGGTTCCTTGGAAGGCATCCAAATGATATTTATTGCCCAGTGCATGAGTTACAGCTTACACCTGCCATATATAAGTCAATTTTAATCCTTTTAGTTGTTAGATACAAAGATTGTGAATTTGGTACATAGTTATAGCTGGTAAGCTATTATATTTTTGACGTTAATAATGGTTGTTTGATAATTAGGTGTTGCAGATTGACCTGCGGGCATGCTCAGTTTTTTGAATGTTCTTGTGTTCAAAAGTGAGGTGCCAAAATTAAACCCTCCCTTAGACTGACTCTAGACATGGAAACTTGAGTTATGAAGGTGCGGGGAGTTGAGGTAAGCTCAGCTTTATGAAAAGGAATTTCACTTGACTAATCCTTGGAAGCCTGCAATCGACAATCACATTATATTTGGGGATTTCGATTCATGAATAAGTGCCTGAAGTGATGATCAGACAAGTTTACTTTTATTTGCTTAACTGAAAGCTCAATACTTAGTGATAGAAATTGGGCTGGACTATTGCTTCATTTGTTTATACCTGTAACTGTTTGCATTCTTTTGGCTGCAAAATCTTGTTGTGTTTGTTGTTTGGGAAGATTTGTAATGGGATGGTAGGGCTTTGTTAATTCATAAATAGGCTGTAAGCTTTACTAAATTCGCGACAATGGCAATTAGAAATCATTTTACATTCACTAATATATTATCCTAAAATATGTTGAATTTGAAACCCCAACAACAACTAATTGGAACTTTCCATTTTGTTTTAGAATGAGGATTGTGATTGTAGCTTTCATATCACAATTTTATTAGTGTTTAGTACATAACAGGGTTGCGTTATTAATCACAGAAATTTGAAATAAAATATTGGGAGACCCTACTTTATGAGATGGGGGCGTCTAATATTGGGGCCCATGAGTTTTTTTCCCCTTCAACCATGCTTATCTCTTTCCTGCAATTGTCTAGGTTGACTTAATATTATTGTTATACAATTTTATGTTTATGTGGTTTAGCTTTTCATGCATCAAGGCACACAAGTTAAGACTGAACAGAACAGCAAGAAAGCGCAGTGTATGGTTTAAATTTGACCAGTTGCATATCAGCTCCCTTGTTTTCCTTGTTATCAGTACTATTTCGAACATTCCCTTTAAATCCATTAGGCCCCATATTAGATCACGACTCACTCTAATCATGTGTTTTGATGTGACATAAATGGCTTCCATGATAAATGTGTCTTAAAAAGTCCAAAGTCGAAGATAAGAGCACTTGTACCTTGGGACAGAGTCTCAGAGAGTGCATGCTCTTTGTCTATATGTCAAAAGGCTATGAGTTTACTGTCAAATAACCAAATATGCAAAGAATCTTGAATAATGTAGTCTGGAGTTTAGGTTTGGAAAAGTTGACTGGGCAAGGAAACCATGATGAAACAGTTTTGTGTATAAAATCAAATCGAAAAATGAATGCCAATCTGGGTATTTGTTCATTCTTTTAAACCTTGCTGGCTTTTCTGATGGATGGATATTGGCCATTGTCTAGTCATTGCTGTTGCAGTTATAGGCTATTAGTGTATCAAATACCATAGGATCTGAAAGCATTCTTTGTAATCCTAAACCAGATGTTGTAGTATTTAGTTAAGAAAACAACACATCTGGTAAAAATGCAATGGACTTCATAAATGAAAGATGTTCTATAAATAGGCAACTGAAATTCTGCCATCTTTTGTACTTTTACTATGGGGATGGATAGTATTTGAGGTGGTTGGTCGTGAGTGTGGAAATACATAAGCTGATTCTACAAGAAGACTACTTGGTACATCCAGTATTTCGCCTTGTAGAAATGGTAATCCTACTCAAGTGAAAAGCATCATATTAGAAGTTTTTGTGTATAGGAAAAATTCATTAACTGTTTGTGAGTGTCGAAATACATAAGCTGATTCTGCAAGAAGACTACTTGGTAAATCTAGTATTTTCCCTTGTAGAAATGGTAATCCTGCTCAAGTGGAATTCATCATATTAGAAGTGTTGCTGTATAACAACAATTCATTAAGATGTAAGGAATTATATCAGAACGAGAAATATGAATGGTAAACATTAGCATTATCAAGTATAGTTGAGTATGGAATTATATTCTTGTTCTGCGTACCTGTTTTCTCCTACATTTGTATGCGTCTGCAAAACAAATCATAGGTTTGCATAAAAGTCATAGTTTATTGAGTAGTTGAAAAAGATATGAAGCAAAGGATGCGAAAGTCCAAGATAATATTTTATATTCATTTTACCTCTGATATTGGAGTACTTCTTTGTAGACAATATTTTGGGTAAAGGTAGCACATGTCTGTGTGGGACAAGCTGGCGTCACCAAAATCTTTGTGTTTGCCATTGACGTTCCTCTTGATAGAGCCACGTACAATTGACCATGTGAAAAAATGGGTTGTGGCAAATAAATGCTGACATGGGGAATGGTCTGGCCTTGTGATTTGTTGATGGTCATTGCAAAGCATAGTCATATAGGATATTGTTTCCTCTTGAACTTGAATGGATAGCCATCAGTCTCTGTTGGAGAAAGAGGTACGCGGGGCAAAAGAACATGAACCCCTTTATGTTGGCCTGCTGTAATCTCTGCATGGATGACATTATCTTGAAAATGTATGCATACCATTCTTGTCCCGTTGCATAAACCATTTGATGGATCTAGATTTCTTAAGAGCATAATTGGTGCATTTTCCTTCAATTCTAACTTATGTGGTGGCAAACCATTCGGAGTCAAAGAATTGAGAAATTCCTCTTGATAGTAATTATTGGTATCATCCTCAGCTGCATCAAAACTAAGAAAAGTGTGTTTCGTACCTGGAAACTGATCAATTAACTTGTTATTCAGCATGTCTACCATATCATTCTTTGCTGCCAATATCGCTCTTTCTGCAATGTACTGAACGGAATGTGCATTTTCTTGTAGACATGGAAAGATTTTATTGATCAAGCATTGTTCTGGTATGTCTTCTTTGTCATACTTGAGCAATAATTGATCTGGGATTCGTATCATGTCATCCTTGCAGGTGTGCTCATCTCCATTTCCAACCTGTAGGAGAAAGTCAGAAAAATAAGGATCCCCTTCAGCTCGCATGTTTCTTGTCAGCATCAATATTTCCATTTTTTTCCACAATTCTGACTTCACAAGGCTGGCTTCAATAGTCTCTTCCTTAGTTGCTTTTGATACAACTGGTAGGACTTGTCGAGAGTCTCCCCCAAAAACAACCACTTTTCCTCCAAAATCCAGATTGGTTTCCATTATGTCCTGCATTGTTCTGTTTAGAGTTTCTATTGCACAACGCTTTGCCATTGGGGCCTCATCCCAAATAATTAAATCTGCTTTATGCAATAACTTTGCTGTACCACTTTGCACTGTTACATTGCAAAAGCTAGCTTCATTTGCATTAATTGGTATCTTGAACCGCGAATGTGCAGTTCTTCCTCCAGGCAATAATGCTGCAGCTACGCCTGAGGTTGCTGTTGCTAGTGCAATCATTTTTCTCACTCTTTAAGTGTGCTAATAGAGCATGATGGAGAAATGTCTTCCCTATTCCTCCAGGGCCATCCACAAAGAACATGCCACTTTCTTTTGAATTTATTTTCTGCAATATTTTTGAAAAATCTACCTGTTGCTCAGGATTTAGCTTTGACTCTAACATGTGATCCTCAAATGGGGTTTGAATAGACATTTCATCTTCAATTTCTCTTGCACGTACCTTATTTGCAGCATCAGTTGGTAGTGCTGGAAGCTCATATTGTTTAATACTTTTTCCCATGCTCTCTAGGAAACAATTTATACTTGTTAATGTGCTGAAAAGGATGGAATCATTGGAAGTCTGACCATTCCTTCTATAATCTTCAGCTATTGATTCAAAGTAATTATCCCACAATTTTCTCACATTTGTTGTTGGTTGACAATATACCAAAAGAGTAGCAAACAATCGGCGAGGTGCATGTGGCATCTTAAAAGCAACAGCTTCATTCATGCAATAAAAAATGCTATTGTCTGATTCCAAAATGCCTTTTTTTGAGCAGATTCTTTAAAAGTTGAACACCGTACGCCATTCACTGTTAGCAGGTCCCCATATGATTACGGTCCTCTTACATGGTTCAGTAATAACCTTAAGTAGTACCTCTCTTCTTCTGCTGGATTTGCTCCATTTATTCTACCAATGACCTCACGTTTTTTCCTTTTGTTCCAACGTCGGTCCTTTTTGTCCCAAACATAATGCTCTGGGAATTCTTTATACAAATAATGCTTGTTTTCTTGGTTTCTTCGATTGAAATTAAAGAATTCAGTGAGCATTGTCTTCGACACGTGATCCCATTGGAGAAGGTTTTTAAGATTTTGATTCTTTCAATAAGTCACACATTGCTTGCCAGGAAGATGCACTTGCAAATTGATGACTGCTGGGGACATCTCATTAAGATTGAATTCAAAAATTCTCCAGATAGCTTCCTAAGCTGAAACCCATCTTGCATCTTGAAAGAGTTGAATTTCATCTACCATAGCCTTACCATCAGGGTGTGCTATGTACACAGCGACTCTATCATGACCTTTGTAGATGTATTTGTAAAGGTATTTAACTGCTCGTATACCAGAACATATTTCCACATTGATATGGCAATTGTACCTTGTCAAAAGATATGGGTTGTAAGGAGCCACCCATCTATCATCCAATGTAGCCTTCTGAACATGTACTTTTTGGTGGTCAAACCTTCTCCTATAAAGTAGATATCCATCTTCAGCACACAGTCTTCCCACAATATGATCTAGGATAGCGATACTTGCATTTTCCATTCACCATACAAGCATTGTTCTTCTTTAAAGCTCCACATGGGCCATGAATCATATGCTTTACCACCAATTCATATAAATGGGGGTATCTGTCTTTGTCAGGCAGTTCTGCACATACAAACTTGTCAAATTGATCAGGGCTAGTGATTTTGTAATCCGGTTTTAATATAATCAACATGTGTGCATGTGGCAATCCTCTCTTTTGGAATTCAATTACATGAACTTGGGCAGCTGCCTTTCCGAATATCTCTTTCTTGAACAGTTGATCTTTTAGATCTTGCAATTTTGCTCGAAATACTCTAGCAACCCAATCAGGACGATCTTGTGTAGTTTGGCCTTCAAATAAATTTTCCTGGATTTCTTGCCACTCGGGATTGCAAGTCATAGTAATGAAAAGATCTGGTTTTCCAAATCTTTCAACTAATGCCATTGCATCTAAATACCTTCGGCGCATATCTCTTGGACCACCAATGAATAATATTGGGAGAACGATTCGTTGGCCAACTTGGTTGCCGCTAGTTTCTCCAGCCATGACTGAATCAACTATTCCTTGATACAACTCGGCCCTTATTTCACCTTGTTTTCTTCTATAGAAGTCCAAGCGAGTTGTTTCAAGTTTAATGCACCTCTCAACTGCATATTGTTGTAGTAACCGTCGAGCAAGCAGTAGAATTGATTGTTTTGGCTGTCTGACTTGCAATTTGTAGCAATAGTATTGTCGGCAAGAAACTTTACCGACAGTGTCATCACTAAGTTCTGCATCATAAAACTCTCACTAGTATCATAGCATTAAAATGTTATATGGTATTGGATAATAAGCGGAAAAAATCAAATTGCAATTCATCTAACCTTCTTGCTCTTGATTGAAAATATCCTCGAGGGAGCCAAAATTTGGATTAATCTCATTTGGGTCAGTATCTTGACGAACAGTTCCCTTGACCACATCATTTGTCTTCTTTATGTTTTGGTGCCAACCTATCTCTCCACCTGGGAAGAGAATAGGGTATTGTAGTGGGTCATAGCATCCATAGTAGTGCTTTACACGATATGGAGCACCGGAATGGGCATGGACTATGATGTCTCTTTGAACATTTTCGCTAGGATCATTCCCCTCTATCCATATAGCAGCAACTTGGTCAGCTGTAGGGGAGTTGTAGACTCTTTGATCCAAGCTAGCATCCTTCTTTATGCATACTTGAAGGTTATCCAAGGAAGGATAGTCTTTTAACTTTCTTAGAAAGCGTGCAAATGGATTTTCTTCAAGAATTTTCATCAATTTCTTGACAATTCTTTCATTCAAATTCACATCTTTTAAGATATTGAGTCTGTTGTTCAGCTCATTCTCTGTGTCATAAAAGTACAATTGTAAGTACCGTGGGGCATTCGCCTCTGGAATCAAGGCAGGCAAATAATGGTAGATTTGTCCTAGAACTCTGAATGTGTAGACCCCTTGCTTAGATGATGCCAACTCTTTAATTTGTCCAATCTTGCCCCAAAAGAAGTGAATGAAAAAATACTATTGTATGCACGTATATGCTTGCGAAATTCTTCCGCTTCTTTTGAATTGGACGTGTACAATTCATACAATTCTTCTGGAAGCTCAACATTTCTCAACCTGATTTTCCCCTTTTGGCAACAGAATGAGGACCGGTGGCTCGAATTCAAGCCTCATTGCTCCACAATGTTTGCAAGAAGGTTTAGCCTGTAACACTTGGAGTTCAGAGCAGACTGGCACATAAGATAGCTCCCCTTAAAAGATTAAATAAGTAAACTTGTTAGTTTGTCTATATTTGTGTGTCTTGTATATAGAAAATTTAGTTAGGCAAACATTTCCTCCGACCATTATTTTCTGATGGCTCTTGCAATGCTTTCAGTAGCCAAGGTTTTTTCTATGTTTTCCTTTCGTGAATGGAACCCTGATTGTATGCATGCTGCCTTTTCTTCTGCAAGGAGCCATACCAGTCCTTTTTTGCTTTTGTTTGTGTACCTTGACTTGCATCTGGGACAAATTATCAAACATAACTTTGTAAGAAATATGGTATTTTACAAATTACACTATCTTCAACATGTAAAATTGTTACTACCTTGGGATATAGCTTCTTTAATAGCAGTATGGTTTTGAATTTTTCTAGCCTGCCTTGATTTAACACGCCATTGGTTGTGCACTTTCTTTTCTTCTTCGGTTAGTGAAGCATGCCAACTCCTTTTCTGACCTCCTTCATTAGCTTGGAGCTCTCCTGAAATAGCTTAATCATGTTTGGTTCTCCATTTTATGTATCAGAATTGTTTTTTTTTTTTTTGGGGTTTTTAGGGGAAAAAAGGAAAGGTAATTTTTGTACTATCTGCAATATGTGAAATTATTAATACCTTCTTTTCTAAACTGCCTTGCCTTAGCACGTCGTTTGTTGAACAATTTTTTTCCTTCTTCGGGCAATGAAGCATACCAACTTCTTTTCCGACCTTCAAAACAGTGGAATAATATTTGGTTCACCATTGTGTGTATCAGATTTTTTTTGGGGAAAAATAAAAAGGAGAAGTTAATACTTATACTATATAATTGACCACATAATTTTCCATCAAACAATAGTTGTAGAGAAAAGTTGACAACCTTGTGATTTGGATGTTGTTGCTGGATTCATAGAGGTAGCTTTTCGTGCCTTATTTGTTTGAGCGCATCTTTTATTGTACTGCTTCCTTTGTTCATCACTCAACGAAGCATACCAATTGCTGCTTTGGCCTCTTTTATCATCATGCAATCTTTGCTCTTCTTTCTATTCACCAATAAAGGGGTTTTTATCTCTAGATACAAAGAAAGAGAGGGTTATTATAATGTAGTATTCTTTTGTGTCGGCCCTTCTATTTGAGCTGGCTTTCTAGTTTGTTTCAATATCTTGAGTAAGAAGCAAAAGCTGTCATGCAAGTCACAATATTGCTTATGTTTTTTGTTTGAGTCGGCGAACGCGAATTAAAGAAATAATCAAAATTTGGCTACAGAAGTTGTCCGGAAATTCTGATTTGGAGATTCGTCATAGTTAAAGGACTGCAGCATTGTTAATCCCCTGAAGTGTGTAACACTCATGTTTGCCCAACTATTTACAAGTTATGGTAGCACTAATTCCGTCGCTGTGTGTTGGTAAATAGGTCGCTATCTACTTCTTGATGATAGATGAAGGCTGACTATGTCTCATGTGGTGCTAAGACTATTCAAGGCTTGTGAAACAATATTAATATATTCATAGACTTGAATGTGTACATGGACCATTGGCTGTAGAATACCAGTAGATTCTTTTTCTCTTCGAATTGCAGCAAAATGCATGTGCATACAAAATTTTGCAGGCACCAACAATAATAGTGCAGATCTATCTTTGATGCTGAATTAAGCATAATTTGAGTAAAATTAGTTTCTATGCACAAGATGGGATAGGTGGCTAACAAATTAGAGTATTATACATGCTAACCTTTTCTTTTTCTCCTTTTCTTCGCCCATTTGAGGTGGCTTTTGCAGAGCTTGTTGGATAGGCTTGGTTTGCTGAAAACAATACAAATGAAGCACTACTCTATGGCTGTCCTTAAACCTGTGTTGTTCCACTACAGTCTTATGGAACGTTGTTCTCGTCTCCTTGATTCATTGGCGATTCACTTTATGCGATTTTATGAATAATTTTCAGTTTTTTTCAGTTTTCCTTGTTTTGAGTTCTAGTCACTTGTGACCTTTTGTCTTACCTTGGCTGCAATAATTAAACTTTAACCCACAATTAAGATTATGTGAAGCCTTAACAACAAATTTAAAAGGGCATAATTGGAATAACAGAAACTAAGTTCACGGCACTTTTTATGTTTTTAGTTTTGGAGTTCTAGTCACTTGTGACCTTTTGTCTTACCTTACCCACAATTAAGATTATACGAAACCTTAACAACAAATTTAAAAGGACATAAATGGAATAACAGAAACTAAGATCAAAATATTGCTTACACTCTCGCTCCAAAGTAGACTCATGGTACTTATTATAGGAAGTTTATGGTTGCGGATTCGGTGGGTTGTCCCACGGCTAGAATTTGCAATGTACGAGAGAAATCCTTTAAGCAGTGTATGGGAGTTTATGCTTCCGTCTAAACTTTAATAAAATTGGGGTGGCGTCCTTCCCCATGTACAGGATTTGCAAAAAAAATAGATTGAGAGTAATATAGAAGGGATAACCAATTACATTTAATATGTTTAAAAGAGAAAAGAGCTAATTATGGGGAAAAGGAGAACAAAGAAAAATACACTTAGAACATTTTTTTTTTTTTTGCTTTACTAAATTTGAATTAACTTTTACCATTACTCTTGTATTTGGTTGATTTATCGACTCACTCTTGGATGATTTGTGATTGTGTAACCTATTTTGGATATTTAATGCATTGCAATTAATACTCCTTAATTATGCATATAATTTTGTGAAACACTAATAGTTTATTCAACTAACTAATAAAATGAGTGAAAATGTTAATTCTACTTTTTACTTTTCAACGAACATATATAAGAGAATTTCGCTAGATAACCTTGGAGAGTTTGTCAAATTTATTGGCCACATTAGATTTCTTAAGATTAGTCATTTTATGCTAACTATCAATTAGTAATACAAAACATTACCTATTGCATAAGAAATTAGACATTTTTGCATTTTGTAGTTGCTCGTATTGAACCCTAACAAGTCCAACTACCACTAATATAGTTGATTCTCAATCCAACTATTATATTGCCCAATAATACACAGTTGTCCCCACTAGCTTTCGGTCTTGGCTCCGTCACTGCTTGAACATGTTTTTTCAATATTTTAACTGGAAAAATTGTTCTTTAAGGACGTTGAGAACTTCTTCACAAACTGATTTTCAAATTTAGAATAACATAACAGTCAACTTTAAAGCATCTTGAGTTAAGGCACGCGATCTTGAATTTTTTTCAATGGTTTTTCAAATAAGACCTTGGGTTAGTCAATTTATTACTAATTGGTTTTGAAAATGAATATCAAATTCTTTGTGGTGGTATTTCTCGCTGGATTTCAGCTTTTATTCATGAAAATGTTTATTGTTACACTCTTGACTTGGTTTTTTTTTTTTTTTTTTTCCCTTGACTCGATTTTTACATCATAAATATTTTGGAACTTTGACCATTCGTACCTCGAACCCAGTCTTAACAAATATTTCATGAATCTAAATCGATTTCAAGGTCTCTCATCAACACCAAGCCAAGCATGACAGATTATGTTAAGAGACAATTTGAGGTTTCCCAAATATTTCCACCCAAATTAATTTGAAAATCCTGTTTCATAAGTTTTGGTGGCTCTAATTGAAAGAGAGTTGTTATGCAACAACATATACTATAGAAATTTCTTAAGGAAGTCTAATCAAATTATTTAGATCAGCTCGATCAATACCAATTGAGATGGAAATTCAAGTTCTTTATCAATTGAAAAATTAAACACCAAATCCAATTGAACGAATAGGGAAATCAGCCAAGTAATTTTGAGGTCCTATTTTCAACTTTTAAGGCCACCTATTTCCACTCTTCCCTTGAAGGCCTAGATTCTAACTTGCACCTCAGCATGCTAGAGTTTAATTATGCAACATCTAGGAAGTTTATCAATGGCTCGTCTGGATTAGTTATTTTGTGAGTATTTTTAAAATATTTTAATGTACCAATGTCTATGAAAAATTTTTACTATAAATGTTTTTAGTGGCGTTTCTGAGATATATTTTAGAATATTTTTAAAATTTCAAAACTTTTTAGATTATTTTTTAAAAATTAACATTACCACCCACCACCGCCACGACCCGCTCCCTCCTCTCTCTTCCATCTCCCCTCCTCCTCCCTCTTTCTCATTCTCTTTTCTCCTCCCTCCCCTTTCCTACCACACCTTGCCCCTCCCCTCCCCTCCCCTCTCCCCGATCTAGCCTCGACCAAATTGCAACCAGAAGATCACGCGACCTTCTGTTATCTGGTCAAGGCTAGATTGGGGAGGGGGGAAGGGGAGAGGTGAGGTGTGGTGGGAAAGGGGAGAGGAGAAGGGGAAGAGGAAAGAGAGGGAGGAAGAAGGGGGAGGAAGAGAAAAGAGGAGGAAGAAGGAGATGATGGCCGTGGTGGATGGGGGTGGTGGTAGTGATTTTATTTTTTAATTTTTTCATATATTTGTAGTTTTATTTGATATATTGTATTTATGTAGTATTTTTGGAGTTATTTTTGTTTGTATACTACTGTAGCATTATATATGGAAATTTATTGTTCAAAAAATG